ACAGTGCATGTAGATGTGTGTCCCACAGTCCATGCTGATGTGTGTCCCACAGTCCATGCAGATGTATGTCCCACAGTGCATGCAGATGTGTGTCCCACAGTCCATGCTGATGTGTGTCCCACAGTCTATGCAGATGTGTGTCCCACAGTCCATGCTGATGTGTGTTCCACAGATGCAGATGTGTGTCCCACAGTCCATGCAGATGTGTGTCCCACAGTGCATGCTGATGTGTGTCCCACAGTGCATGCTCATGTGTGTCCCACAGTCCATGCAGATGTGTGTCCCACAGTCCATGCTTATGTGTGTCCCACAGACACTGCAGGTTACCTTGTGGTGACAGGACATTTCTCACTGCAGAATGACAAATGCCCTTTAAAATCCAAAATCACCTGAGATCATCAATGTTAAGGAAAATCAACTGATTCATATAAAAAAAATCAATAAATCAAATGTAGTAAAACATTTTAAAATTGGAAGGACAGTATTCAATGGGAAAGTATTAGAGTGTATCACTCCATGTGAAGAATGAATTTCAAGTGGTTTAAAGTCCATCTATGAATGTACAGTTAGAAATAATGTAGATGAATACCATTATGATTTCTGGGCAGTGAAAAATTCCTTAGCAAAGTTGTAAGAGCCCAAGTTATAAAGAAAACATTGACATTTATTAGTAGTTACAAGTTAGATTACTCTAGTGTCATGACAATGAGTTGAATTACATTTGTGAACATGAAGACTCTCTAAAATAGTGCCCAGGGACTCTGAAATAGCTTAGTGGTTAAGTGCTTGCCAAGCAAGTTTGAGGACTGGAGTTCGGATCCCCATAGTGTCTGCAGATCCTGGGGGAGGTGGCATCGCACCTGTAATTCTGGCTTCTTCAGGCCGAGACAGAGGATCCCCAGAGCAAGTTTGAGGACTGGAGTTCGGATCCTCATAGTGTCTGCAGATCCTGGGGGAGGTGGCATTGCACCTGTGATTCCTGCTTCTTCAGGCCAAGACAGAGGATCCCCAGAGCAAGTTTGAGGACTGGAGTTCGGATCCTCATAGTGTCTGCAGATCCTGGGGGAGGTGGCATTGCACCTGTGATTCCTGCTTCTTCAGGCCAAGACAGAGGATCCCCAGAGCAAGTTTGAGGACTGGAGTTCGGATCCACATAATGTCTGCAGATCCTGGGGGAGGTGGCATTGCACCTGTAATTCTGGCTTCTTCAGGCCGAGACAGAGGATCCCCAGAGCGAGTTGGCTAGTGAGACTGGCCAGACCAGGGAGCTCTGCGTTGAGAGACCCTGCCTCTGTAAATAAGGTGGAAGGGCAAAGGTTGACCAGCTTCCATGTGCACCCATGTTTATGCACAGAGGCACACGTGTACATGCACACATGGATACTCACCCACATACAAACATTTTAAGACCATTTAGTGTACCTGAGTCTATACATTAATTTCATTCTATTTCTGGAATGTGTTGTGAAGCCTATGAACTTCCAAATTCATTGTCTCCCTGAATTAATCTGATTTAAACAAGTATATGAGCCTATAAAATACCCTAAACTTTGTGTGCATATATGTGTATAAAATATGTGTATATATGTACAGAATTATGTATTCCATATACGCAATGTCTATAAGGCCAGAGAAGATACAGCTTGCTTGCTGGTGTCTCCAGTAGGTAAGTGGATAGCAGTTACACTCTAACTAGGCTCCAGTAATGAGGCCAAACCTGAGACACATTTGTCTGCTCCGTGCCCCATAAAGGGACAGTCATGTTATTTTCTCACACAGAAACTGGATCGGATTCATATGAGAGAAGGGTAGTGGATGTTTAAAGAACTCAAGCAATCTTGCTCCCCATCATTTGGTCCCTCACAGGCCTTATTCATTCTTGACTCAGCCCTGTGTTAAGATCTCCCACTGCAACTCTGGAGTACTCTGAGATTTTTAAGGAGGAAGCCCACTTCCCTTGGAAGGCTTATCAGCTTTCCTTGAAGAGCCACGGAGACTGATTAAGACGTCATAAATCTGGAGCACTTGTGGTCAGTTTTTCTTGGAAGAGGAGGATGGAGGCGATTATGCACAACACTGAACAGCCAGCCATCCTCAAGCTTTTAGAGACCCTCCCTCCCAGTGGTTTCTCTGACTAGCATGCTCCTTCACATGAAGGCTTCATGGAGACAGGAGTGTAGCCACCTCACTCCTTTATTTCTCCACGGGTAGAGTTATTTCAGAACATGACTCCATTTAAATATTCCAGTCAGTCCTTTTGCACTACAAACCATGCACCAACCAGAACATCTTTTTTTTTTCTGCAGAACCCCGTGACTTGGTCCTCTGGCCAAATGCCAGCCACAGGAACCACAGGAACCTCAGCTTCACTACTATTTTAAAATTAATGTATTTTTATTCTTCAAAACAGATGCTTCTGAGCCTTTATGACACTCGTGTTTGAGTCAGTATATCACCAAGTGAATATTAAATTATAGTACTATAAACTCCAGGGAAATTTTATTAATGTTTTTAATGTAATCTCATGTGACGTCAACATGTTTTTTAGATATTCATAAATTTAGACTTTAAAAATCTTCAGTTTTAGGGTGCTATGGATGTTGTAATGTGTAGAGAATCCATAATTGTGAAACAGTGCTCTTGAATTTTCATATACTCCTGATAACCATCAGCTCTTTCATATGCTAATTATAGTGGTATTAAAAACACACAAGTAATATTTTTTGCAGCTCAATTGCTTTGGGCCAAAGGAATTATTTCCAGAATAAGCTGGCAGGTTCCTGCTTGGGGAATTAGGACTCTCATGTCCTTAACTTTAAAATAACTTGCATTTCATTTTATGCTTGCTTCATAAAGTAGTCATTCATTTTCCGACTAGATTGCAACCAAGGCAGACCACATCAATAGAGGCCAGTCTGTGGGTTGAGTGTGTGTTAGGCTGGAGGACATGAAGTAGAATGCTAAAAATGGCGGCCTGGTGGCTGATTTATAAAGCAAACTGAGCACTAATGCCCCGGTATCTTTATATCTACATCCTGGTCCACAGTGAGTTCACCACAGAATTTGTGGATGAAGGAGAAAGTTCAACATAGTGATTTATGTTTGGAGAATTCTTGGAATGAAATTCTTGTTTTCTGTTGTCACTTTGAAACACTTGAAGTGGGATTTGTGGGAGGGGTGCACTTGGTTTTTAGGTTTAGAGTTTTGGGCTCTGTTCACACACGTGACTCCTGGACATAATGGGTGACAGCTGGGTGTGGACCTTGGCTATGTAGCCTACAGAGCTGGCTGGAGACACAATCATGAGACAACTTGATGCTTTTCTCTTTCTCCTCTTTTAGTTTAAATTTCTATTTGAAAAACTTTTTTATTTCAATCGGTAAAATTAAATAATTATTAAAATTCATGTGAGAAATATTTCTGAATTTTTAAATCAGCTTTTTAAAAGTTTCTGTTCCTTGTGTGTTCCAAGAGTTTTTATTTCTTGGTATTTCTATTAATTCAGATTTTCTACTGAGCCATTTCCCTTTCATTGTTCTTTCTCCTTGAAATTAGGAAAATTGATGGAGTAAAATAAAAATAAACTATAGGAAAAACGTTTTTGAAAACAAATAGTAAACGGGAAGTATCAGAGGATGTCAGTCCACATAAAGAATAAATTCTAAGCGGATTAAAGCTTTTTAGGGTTGTCAGTTGACATGACGTGGAAAGCATTTGGATGTCACTTCCCTGACCTAGCAGCCACCTCCCTAAAATTACCGGAGTAATTGAAATCACCCTTTCACCCTGTTATTTGTTTTCCTGTCCTCCACATGAAAAGGACAGTGGTGGAAGCCTGGCAAAGGAATGGCCTTCTCCACCAGGCGGCTGTGGCTCCCCAGAATAGTGCAGTCTTCCAGCCCAGCATGGCTTTTCTGCCAGCCTCCCAGCTCGGTGCTTCTTGAATCCTTAAAATGTGGTATCCTCTCATGAAGACTGTAGCAAACCTCAATAGTAGACTCATGACAAGTGAACTGATGAGGAGGTGTAGTCACAGAGTATGAGGATTTAGCCAACCCATGACCATAATGTGGGAAGTCGTTCTAAACCACAAGTTCAGAAGGAGCAACTAATGGGTTCATGGTCTGTCTTCAGATTCAAGCATTTAGAAGCATTAGGGGCCATGCTTTGGGAGGCAGCCATGACCCTGTTCTTTTTACTCCAAAAACTTGGTTTTCCCAAAGCCTTCTAAATCCAGCTAAGGATGGCACCTCCCAGGGAGGAGTACATGCTGTAAGGGAACAGAAAGTTTAAGGTTAGCTGGACATGGTGATGTATGCCTGTAATCCCAGCACTTGGGAGGCAGAGATAGGAATATCATCACAGGTTAAAGGCCAACCAGGGATACATAGCCTTGCCTACAAACAGACAAACAAACAAACAAACAAACAAACAAATACTGTGAAGGTGGTGCGAAGTGTAAATGGAGAGGCGGCAAAGAAAGAAAACCGAGGATCAGTAATAAAAGCATCCCCGTGAACTGGGCAAGACAACAAAGCCTTCATTCTAATACTTGGTGAGTTAGAGGATGGACTGGGCCACATAGCCAGTTCCAGGCCAGCCTGGGGCTAAATGGCAAGACCTTGTCTCAAAAGACACAACAAGCAAACCAACCAAGCACACACACACACACACACACACACACACACACACACACACACACACACACAAACACAAACACGCACACCCCATAATTTCAGAGATTATGTAGACCCTAGGGTAAGATAAAAGCTAGTTGATCATTATGTCATTCACTAAAGAATTCACCTTCTATTTTATGGACACCTCCTTGAGATGTTTTTGGTTCCCTGATCCTTGGAAATTTGTTTCTTCAGAGTTTAAACTTAGACTCTTCACAGTAGTTCACACTACCAAAATTTTATAGGAAACTAGTACCTTGTCTTTGCATCATTTTAATGCGTGCCACCTCTATAAAAGCCATTGTTTCCTTCCTCCTTTAGAAACTGCGAAGGACAGAACATCAGATACAAGACATGCAGCAATCATGTAAGTCTGAGAATATGTAATCCAATTAAAGCCTGTCTTAGAGTGTTTATCATGTACTGTGATACCAATAGTGTCTTGAGAACCCTTCTGATAATTTTAAATTCTTGCTTGGCTGATGACAGTCTTTGTATATAAGTATCTTCCATTCACAGTGCTCTTTTAGGGCCATTTCACATTTATGATGGAACTTGGTAAGTATGTAATTATGACTCCATTCATACAAGTGATATATGCAATAGCTTCAAGGACCTTCAGGGCTCCAAGTGTTTTGTGTCAGTATCTACCCAGCCTCTTCCACAATGTCTGGACACACAGACACATGGAGAGGGATGAGGCTGAGATCTAGACACACAGACACATGGAGAGGGATGAGACTGAGGGATGGACACACAGACACATGGAGAGGGACTCAAGCTGATGTCTGGACACACAGACACATGAGGAGTGACTCAGGCTGAGGGATGGACACACAGACACATGGAGAGGGACTCAGGCTAAGGGATGGACACACAAACACATGGAGAGGGACTCAGGCTGAGGGATGGACACACGGACACATGAGGAGCGACTCAGGCTGAGGGGACAAAATTATTTTTGAGAGCTTCAAAAGAAGACTCCAGCTGGGAACTGGTTTAGTGGTGTTTCTAGCACTGCAGACTGCCTGTTGTACCCTCTGCAGCAGGGCTAGGTGACTCAGAAGGTCACACAGAAGGAAGGATTTATACAAGCCTGCTCTGTGTTCGTTACGTTAGTCAACACTGAAAAGAATCGGAATATTTTGCTTTACAATTATAAAAAGCAAAATTAGGAGCTGGCGTGGTAGTTCAGTTGGTAAAGAGTTTGCCTTGCGAACATGAGGACCTGAGTTCGAGCCCCAGAACGCACGTGAAAATTCCAGGCCTGGGGATGGGCTTGTAATCCCAGCACTGAAGAGGCAGAAGGAGGAGGAGCCTGGGCTCACTGACCAGTCATCTTAGCCTAATTGGTGAGCTCCAGGCTAATGAGGGACCCTGTCTCAAAGGAGGTCAGTGGCATTCTTGAGGATAACAGTCAAGGCTGTCCTCTGGCCTCCACTCACACACATGCATGCGCTCTTGTTCTTTGCTGTGCATATGTGCATGCTACACACATCAGGCATGAAAAATCAATAAAAGCAACCACTCTTTTTCATTCCAAACATTTTCCCTCTTTAGCAAAATATACTCAAACTGGAGCAACAGGGCTCAAGATGAAGTGCAGGGGCTCTGGGGAGCTCTTTGGAGAGAGACTCAGGTGCTCTCTTAGAAAGAAGTTTAGCAGTGTCTCCAGCTTTGTTGGGAGTGGACATGATGCTTGAGACAGTGGGGACAAAAAGAACAGTAGCTTGCAAGACCATGAGCCCAAGAGTCGCGACAGGACAAGCCCTGGGTGAGCGGCACAGACCTGAATATTCAGTTAACCAAGGTCAGACAGAAACAGAGAAGGAAGGACATGGAGGAGAAGCATCTGAAGCCAAGTCAGAGACATGAAGTCCTCTGTGCCCATCTGTATTCCGCTCCTTGTTCAGGTGGGTCCTCCATGTAAAGGAGGACATGTCCGAAGCTGTGCTTCATTAAGTCTGCCCACCATGGAAAAGCTTACCAGACATCACTGGCTAAGGAAACACCAGATGGTCTTTTGTTCAGAATCGCAGGGCAATAGGAAATACGTTCAGAACTCACAGATGAAGAATTCTGTCATGGGCAGGGGACCAACCATGCTTCAGATGGCAGGAGAGGCAGACTCCCAGAGTCGGACTTTCCTCTGGACTGCCGTATCACAAATAATGACACAGAGACTTATTATTAATTGTGAAAGCTTGGCTTTAGCTTAGGCTTTTTTCCTAACTAGTTCTTATAACTCAAATTAACCTGCTTCTGTTTATCTACATTCTGCTGTGTAACTTGGTTACCTCTACTCTGTACCATATGTCCAACCTCTTCACTGTCTACTAGTGTCTCTGCCTCTTCCCAGAGTCCTCTCTCTTCCCATAGTCCTCTCTCTTCCCAGAAGTCCCATCTACCCTCTTCCTGCCTAGCTATTGACCATTCATTTCTTTATTAAAACAATCAGAAGGTGCCTTGGCAAAGACACATCTTCCCACTGTAAACAAATATTCTGCAACAGACTCCATTAGGGTATGGGGTCACAGTGTCCTCTCCAAGAAATGAGGCTGCGATTTCAGAAGCTCTTGGATTCCCTGTCAAAAGAGATGGGGTGTTGGGCTGAAAAATTAGGGAGCAGAATATGTCTGTGCAGCATAGTGACTCCTAAGTGACTTCAGTCTTTAGACATAAGCTTTGATTAGCATTCAGCATAGATTCTTACAGCCTGGACTTCAGACCTTGGGAGATAATTATCAGGAGTCTACCAGAGCAAATGTGAGTTTTCAAAAGAAGCCATGCATGCCAGCCAGGAGTTCTAATACCTGAATTCATTGACTCCTTGTGTTTTCTTAGTCCAGGGTTTATGGGATTAGCGCAATGTTAAAAGAAGCGAAGGAGAATGTCTTCAAAACTGCAGAGCACATCACAACTTGGCAGAAACATTTTTTGCAACATGGGCAAACTTTTTATGAGCAGTTAACTCTGCACAGTGGGCTTTCTGATGGCTTCCAGGAAAGGTGACATTTGACATGGCCTTTGCAGGATCCTTCTTTCATGCTGTAGAACCCACAAGTGGCTAATTTCTACCAGTCTTTCATTGGGTGTTTCTCTTGGAGGTGTTCTTTTCTTCCTATTGCTGTTGCTTCTGCTCAGCCGTGTCCTGGGGCTGGATGGTCCAGTGGTTGAGAATACTTGCTGCCCTTTCAGAGGACTGGAGTTTGGTTCTCAGAATATATATTGAAAGGCTTACAGTTTTCTATAACTCTAGCTCCAGGGGCTGCAACAGCCCCCTCTGACCTCTGTGAACACACATGCATATACACACTCCTAAATAAATACTAATCTTTTAAGAAGGAGCTGTGTTCTCTCATATCTCTCTTCAACTATGAGACTAAACTAGGCTATTTTAATATACAAAAATCCTACAATATCTTGAGCTGTGCCTAGATAAGCCAGGATGGGCAGGCTTAGTGTTGATATTAATGTAAAGTAAATGAAAGCAAGTAACTACGTCCCCTCTATTTCTTAGAAAGTGGTATCCATGAAACAGTTCAGTCACCCTTAGAAAGCTTGAATGCCCAGAGTGCTTTTAAGTTCCTTTCTCTGAGATGTATTTCTTCTGGACAGTTATGTTCAAGGCGACACGTGTCTACTGAATGTACTTCATGAACTTTGTCCTAGGTCAGATGTTTCAGAGAACCCAAAGAAATATAATGCCACGCTGCCCCTCAGTAAAAATATGTGATATTTAGTTTTTTTTTTTAAGCAGAAACTGGTTTTGAGAGCGAGCCTGAACCCCGAAAGTGAGGAACACAGGCTACTTTCTCGTTCTACTGAAATGCATAGCGTGCCAACTTTCTTTCTTCCTCCATATCTCATCCATTCTCCTCTGTAATGGGAGCTGCCTGGGCTTTGCTTGGGCACACATGTCATAAAAGAAAGGGCCAGCCCAGCCCCAGATTCATGTGACTTCTCCCTTTTTGGTGTGTAATTTAAATTCCTGGGAAAGTTTGACCTGGTGTAGACCAGATGTGCCTCTAGTCAGTCAGTCCTGGCCAAGGATGACAAACTTGGCCACCCATTGGGCAAAGACCAAGCTTAGGCAGACATCCTAAACCTATGTTAACTAGCACTCACTCCTTTTTTTTGGAACTTTATTGGCTTATAGCATTCAGCCAGCCAGACTATTCAGCCCCTAAAGAGCATTTGCCACACCCATGAGCTCAATGCAAGGGGAGGCGTCTGTTCCCAGCTTTCATACACACTTTTCTTTGGTTTCAAAGAATTTGAAAGAGAACACTGACCATGGCTTGTGGCAAAGTAGATGATGTCATTTTGTCATCGATCTTTCTTATGGTCACATGGAAGACAGAGTCAGCTTTTCTAAAGAGAAAAGTTTTCATCTTCAGTCTACTTTGGTTTGATTTGTTTCATTTGTCATGACCTGAGATAAGATTTTATCTAGTTAAGACAAAAATGAATACAGTGTGGGGGTTTGGAATGTTCTACACCAATATTGTACAAGTGAGCCCTCAGGAAAGTTTGGTAAGCACACTCTACTCATTCCCTAACTATTTCCAAAGTATCTGAGGGTGTTTGCAAAGACAAAAAGCACATGTACAGTTATTATGTAATATTTTGGGAGTGGGGGAATACCAAGTGAACAACCATCCCTAAACTGGGACACATCAACAGCCCAAAGAATGACTCATTCAAGTTCAGATTTTTTTCAAGACAGGGTTTCTCTGTGTAACTTTGTAGCCTGTCCTGGATCTCGTTCTGTAGACCAGGCTGGCCTTGAACTCACAGAGATCTGCCTGCCTCTGCCTCCCAAGTGCTGGGGTTAAAGGCGTGTGCCACCACTGCCCGGCTCAAGTTCAGCTTTATGGGTTAAGTGAATTTATTAGGGGTTACTTATGGATCATTATGGATAGTTCCATTTTCCTAGAAGTCTCCATGCACACACCCCATTTTATGTGGCTGTAAATTTATAGCAGAATTGATGATACAGATCTGGCTTCAGAATGATACCTAGTGGGGCAGTGAATGTGACTGCAAACCCACAGACCAAGCTAGACTCTGGAAAATTTATGTTGATACATACTCCCATTAAAGATTGCAATGGTGTAGGCAAACACAATCCAAATCTAATAAGGATGGCTTATTTTTCTGCTGTCTGGAATGCAGAACAGCTAAATGGTGGATTACTGCAAGACAGAGTCACTCTACTTAGGATTAGGGAGACTGGTCAGTCTCATTGTAACAGTAAAATATAGGTTTGAGATGGAAAAAAAGATGAGACTGGAAATAAACTATATTTTAGAAGCATGTTGAAACATATTAATTATTTTTTTTGTGAGGAAATAGGGAACGATTTTTACCTCCCAGTATTCATCTGAATAATTCCAGCTATAACCAAGAGTTAAACTGATTATAGTTTCACATGGCTGAGGCAGAACAAGGCAGATCAACTGTAAGTTCAAAATGTAAGGCGAGCCAGTCTGGGCCACAGAGACCCTCCCTCAAAAATAAAATGAAAAAAAAAAAAAAACAGAACAACAATGATACATAAAGCCCCAAACCCAAAACCCCAAAGAGTTAAATGCCATTGCCAACCTATAAAGGAGCTAGACAAATACATTCAATACTTATTTGTCCTCGGGGCAGGGTAAGGAAAGAATCTGTAGCCCATTAAAAAGGAAGAAATCTTGCAGGGTAAGAAACGTTAACAGAGCAGGCTGCACAAACATTTAAGCCTTCTTGACTTCACGAGGCTCCCAGAGCAAAATTAAATAGTGAAAAGATTTCCAACACAAATGACCAAATTTGATGCCTTCACTATAAAAAGTAGTAGCTTTAGCTGCTAAAAATAATACAAAGACAGAACAGAGGACATAAAACAAGAAATTTTCAAAGATTTGGTAAAAAAGCAAGCCTACAAGACTACCCATGAAGCCTAAATAATAAGAAGAAAATGTAAGTTAAAGCAATGAAATTCCATTATGTATATCTTATTAGAAAATTATAATATCCAAATGGGGGAGAAGGATCCAGGCAGGCAACCTGTATAGGCCATGGCTAATGGTAATGCCTTTCTGGAGGACTATTTCACAACGTTAGAGGAGTCCATAAAAGATGCATACACTTAGACTCAGAAAATTTTATTTCCAGAAACAAACCCTTGGAAAAGAATCAAGATTTGTATAAATATTTAAGTGTAGGGATCTTTGTAACTTTGTAACTTATTCATTTTTAAGAAAAACTTTGCCCCAAAGTTTTTAGAATGAACATTAATTATCTTCCTAATGAGGAGAGTATAAAATAATAGGAGCAGAGTTCCAGTGAGTGTACATTTGTCTCAGCCAGCATCTAGCAGGAAGAATGCATAATTTAATAAAAAGGCCACCCCACATCATCAACACTTGTACTTTTTACTGTTAATATGAGGGTGCCCCAGGGTGTTGGCTTGTATTTGCTTTGGTCCCACACAGAATTTTGCACTAGCTTGCTGAAGACAGATGTTGGGTACCAGGGAAGACCAATGGGAGAGGAGAGAAGGAAAGGCAGATGTACTAAACAGCCGCGGAGGCACAGCCAGCAATTCTCCCAAGACACAGAAGTTTGGACAAGACTACATCCTTCCTGGAGATTGATAGACAGTTAACAGTTGCTAGGGTGGGGGTGGGGCTGTCTGGGGGAACACAAAATAAGACATGTAAGTAGAATGACAGCTAATTGGACAGGGGAAGGTGGTCAGTGGAAAAGGGGCAAGGGAGGATAATGTGGGCAAATATAATCAAAATACATCATATACATGTATGCAAATATCTTAATAAAGCTCATTATTATATATAATTAAAATACTTTAATAAAAACACAAAGCAATTTGGGGCTAAAATGGAGGCAAATGGTCCCACTGAAATGGTTCCTGAGGGGGAGGTCTAATATTGTTCCTAGAAAGACCTTGAATCACCTGGGAAATGTAAAAGACTTTGGTCCCCCTTGATTCAAAAAGGAGACTGCAATCCACTTGGAAGTTTATACACGAGATGGCTAAACCAGGGTCACCTACACATCATATGCCTTCATTAGCTGGGAAAAATACCTGGATGGAAGATTGATAAGATTAATAAAATGACCCCCTGAGTAGGTCAGCACTGCAGAGACCCCTGTGGAATTCCTCGATGTAGAAATGCATATTCAGGGTGTAATCTCAGGGTGTTGGGGGTGGGCAATGAGGAAATCAGGTGAGCCTTAGCGGAGGCGGGTGGGGTCTGGTTCAGCCTTCACTGACACTGTGGCTGGTTAATGTGCACATGCACATGGTTCCTTCTGTTTACCTGCAGGACTGCGCAGCAGATTCGGAAGACTTCAGAGCCCAGCAGTGCTCAGCCTACAATGACGTGCAGTACCAGGGTCATTATTATGAATGGATTCCACTATACAATGACCCCACTGCCCCATGTGCACTCAAGTGTCATGCTCGGGAACAGAGTTTGGTAGTGGAGCTGGCACCAAAAGTGTTGGATGGAACTCGTTGCAATGCTGACTCACTGGATATGTGCATAAGTGGCATCTGCCAGGTAAGCCACACCTGCCACGCGTCCTTGGTTTGGAGACGTGCCGTGTCCATTCTCGCTAATGAGGTTTTGACCATTTCAGTGTAAGTGTATTTTCCAGTAAAGAATGGGAGGGCTTTAGGGAAAATGATGGAACTCTCCCCCTGTTCTTCCAATTGCTGAGAAAGGTTTCCAAAACCCTGGACATCCAGCATTCCAATCATGTTTTCCTTATTGAATGTAGTTTGGCTTTTGCCTGTGCAGAATCAAAATATATGACTCCTTATAATCCTCTCGGATCAGGAACTCTCCAACTAGGACACGCAAACAGACACCCCTGAGTGTTTGAGATAGTGTAACCTGCTACTCCCTCCCAGAATTTCTGGCTCTGTAGGTGGGAGTGAGGCCCAGCTCTGCATTTCTCTTGAGTTCTCAGAGTTACTGGAGCTTTGCTGTGGACTCCAGGACCACACTCTGAGAACACTGCTTTGTGAGGGCAGTGCTGATCTCTGGGATCAAGGTCAGTCCAGCAGGTGGGTTGGGTGATTTTGGAGACAAAGGCATCAACTCCAGTGGATGGCAATAAATGGGAATTTAGACAGGTTCCAGAAACTGCAAGGACATCATAGAATTCCTTCCCCTTCCTTTGATCTCTGAAAGATTTTTTTTGGTGTGTGTGTGTGTGTGTGTATGTTTGCATGCGCACATGTGTGAGCACATGTGCGTGTATAGATGTACTAGTTCACATGAGAATTGGTAGCAGCTTAGAGGTTGACATCAGGCATCTTCCTCAATTTTTCTTCACATTTTTTTGAGACAGAGTCTCTCATTGAACCTAGAGTTTGGATGATCAGTGAGCCCTAGTGATCAGCCTATCTACACTTGTCCCCATCTCATTAGGTCTGGGATTATAGGCATCTACCATAGCATACTAGGGATCTGAACTCATGGATATACAGTAAACACTTTACCAAGTGAGCCATCTCCCCAGCCCCTGAAGAATGCTTTTTAAAAAAGGAAAATAATAGAGTTAATACAAGAAAGTATGAGGAAGGTGTAGTGGATAGCTGGTTGAGCCATGCCCTGAAGCACCATCCCTAGTGAGGCAGCTGTACCTGTTACACCTGCCTATGAACTGGAGGTACCTGCCCCTGGGGCGGGGCCGCTGAGAACCCTTAAGACCAGGGATGCACAAAAGCACTCTCTTCTCGGCTACCTCGTGGTTCTGGATGCTGAGGTCTTGGACCAAGTCGTTCAGCGTGGGACATAGCTCAGCTTTCCTGGACTCTACGATATATCTCCCATGGTTGTGAGTTTACCCCCAAATAAATTCCTTTGATCATTAAATAGACTCCGTGGATTAATCCCGATATCTGGCACCCAGGCTTGGAAGTAGAGAAGGGGGAGCAGTGGGAAGGGACAGGATATGGTAATAGGGGATTGAAGAGGATCAAAGTGTGTGTGTGTGTGTGTGTGTGTGTGTGTGTGTGTGTGTGTGTGTGTGTATGAAATGTCATAATGAAACCCATTGTTTTATACATTTAACAAATGCTAGTAAAAATCAACAAGTCTCTGGTATTCCATCTCTTCTAGAAGGCTCAGAGCAGTAACAGTTAACTGCAGCAATCAGCCTAGCTTCATGTGAGAGAAAACATATATATCTTTCTTTCCCTCATTACCTTTCATGTCTCTCTGTGCTCACATTGTGTCCCCCAATATATTGTGCACCCTAATAAACTTATCTGGGTTCAGAGAACAGAACAGCCACTAGACAGACATAGAGGCCCACACGCCTTTAATCCCAGCATTCCAGAGGCAGAGATCCATTTGGATCTCTGTGAGTTTAAGGCCACACTGGAAACAGCCAGGCATGGTGACTCACGCCTTTAATCCCAGGAAGTGATGGCAGGAAGCAGAAAGGTATATAAGGCATGAGGACCAGGAACTAGAGCCTTTTTAAGCTTTTGGCTTTTAGCAATAGTTCAGCTGAGATCCATTCAGATGAGGATTCAGAGGTGAGGTTGGCTGTGGCTTGTTCTGTTTCTCTAATCTTTCTACGTTCACCCCAATACCTGGCTCCAGGTTTGTTTTTATTAATAAGATCTTTTAACAATTCATGCTGCATCTCTCCTTCAGCTTTCCTTTCAGCCTTCTTTTTTCCAAGTACTCCCTTCTACTTTCAGGTCCCTTCCTTCCTTCCTTCCTCCCTCCCTCCCTCCCTCCCTCCCTCCCTCCCTCCCTCCCTCCCTCCCTCTCTCCCTCCTTCCCTCCCTTCCTCCCTCCTTCCTTCTTTCCTCTTTTTCCTCTTCCTCTTCTCTTCCTCCTTCCTTTTAAATACCATCCTGTGCTCGCTGCCTTCCTCAGTGGTGTGTGAGAGGCTGTTGTAAAATCCAAGAGTACTGCCAAGTTTTCCAGGACCTTCCTACACAATTTTCTGCTACCTGACTCCTCAATTCTCTTTTTAAGATAATTTTTAAGGAGGTGCCAGGAAAAAATGAGTGTAAGACAGATATTTTCCACCCCCTTCTTGTTCCCATACATGCTCGTCCTCCCCACTCCCCAAATTTCCCATCCAAACTAAACAGATGTTACAGCTGATGAGCCTTCATTGAGACAACCTACCATTGCCCACAGCAGAGTCACCATTTCCTCCCCTTGTTTTTATTTCCTCTTTAGGCAGAGTCTTCCTATATGCTCTATACTGTTTTCAAAATAACAATGTAGCCCAGGCTAGCACCAAGCCTGTGGTCTTCCTCTCTTAGCCTCTTGAGTCCTGAGAATCCAGGCCTATGATATACTCACCAGTGCCATCCCGAGTCATTCTACCAACATAAAATTCTCCATGCTTTGTCTTTTCATTTCTCTGTCCGCCTAACCTCTGGCAACCACTGGAAAATTTCAAAATATTTAGAGACAACATATTTTTAAATAACACATAGGCAAATATCTCACAACAAAGGAAAAACTATTTTGAATTCAGTGAACATGGAAATGCAACTTGATACAATGGGAGCGATACAATGAAAGCCACGCTCAAAAGGAAATTTCCAACCACAAAGAAGGCTCCAAGATAAAGCATCTATGCCTTAGGAAACTGGAAATGCAGCACAATTCAATCCGAGTCAAGCAGAAAAAAATAACTAATAAAAATGAGAGAAAAACTTAATAAAAAAGAATTGGAAATGAAGAGATAATGGTACCAAAGGTTAAATTTTTAGAAATATCAATGGCATTGATATTTTACAGCTATAAGACAGACTAAGAAAATAATGAGACAGAAACAAAATGGTGTCAGATGTCAGAGTGGAGACACTACTCAGATCAGACCCAGTGGATATTAAAAGGACAGTGAATGAGTAACAGCAACCCTGTGCTCAAAGATTGGATAGATGAAATATCCTACTCCTGGAAAGGCAAGATCTGTCACACTTCATAAAATTAAAAATAGACAATCAGAATATGCCTATAGAAGTAAATAACCCAAATCAGTGACCCCAAACTTTCCAAAATAGTAAACCCTCTGCCTCAGGGATTCACTTTCTGTTCAAATATTTCAAGTAGAAATTATACCAAGTATTCTTCTTCTTCTCCTCCTCCTCCTCCTCTGCTTCCTCCTCTTCCCCCTCCCCCTCTTTCTCCTCCTCTTCTTCTTTGTTCATAGTTTTCTTTTGAATTTCTTTTATTTTTTGAGATTATAATGTAATTACATCATTTCCTTCTTCCCCTTCCTCTCTTTAAACCTCCCCATATACCACTCCTTGCTCTTTTTCAAATTCACGGCCTCTTTTGTCATTAATTGCTGTCACACACACACACACACACACACACACACACACACACACACACACACACATATATATATATATACACATACATATACATTCCTAAATACATAAATATGACCTTTTCAGTCTGTATAATGTTATTCATGTGTATGTTTTCAGGGCTGACAGTCTGGTACTGGATAACCAGCTAGTGTCTCTTCCCTGGGGAGGACTATTTCTCCTTCTCTAGATAGAACTCCTTAGTTGCCTGTAGTTCTTTGAGGCTTCATAGGCTTTCTCCTGTCCATGTTATTGTTACTGTCCTTCCTCATATTTAGGCATGTTGCTGAGACGTCATGGGTGTAGCTTACAACATTGCTAAGAGACACAATCTCACAGCAAACACCCTGTTTTATACCAATTCTTTTTTATTTCTTTCAGAAACTAGAAATAGAGGGAGATGTTCTAAACTCATTCTCCCAGAACCCATATACAGATATCTCAACAAATACTAGTAAATCAAACCCAACAATGTGTAGAAACACAACCAAGTGACATTTATTCTGGCTATGCAAAGCTCATTCAACATTCAAAAAATCAATATAATCAACCGTAACCACATACTAAAGAAGAGCCATAATCATAGGAACAGATGTAGAAAAAGAATTTAACAAAATCTAACACTCATTTATGTTAAACCATAGAAATGGTTTAGTAATAACCTCCAGAAAACTTTGGGGAGCATTTCTATCACTTGATAATATGTGTGTGTGTGTGTGTGTGTGTGTGTGTGTGTGTGTGTGTAGTGTATGTTTTTGAGACAAAGTCTCATTGTGTAGCCCTGATTGGTCCTGAATTCACTGTGTAGACCAGGCTGGCCTTAAACTCACAAATATCCACCTGCTTCTGCTCCTGAATGCTGAGATTAAAGGTGTGCACCACCACAATTGTCTTAATGTCGTTCTTAACAGTAAGAAATCAGTTTCTTGCTAAGATCAGGAACAAGGCAAAGATGTCCTCCAGTCCCTGCCACTGCTTTTCAATATACTAGGAATAAAAGTCAAGAAAATGTATGCTGTTTGAGAAAAACCAAAATTATCTTTGTTTATACATGATTTGATTATATATGTTGAATAAAAAAATAAAGCCTCCTAGAACTAATACTTGAGTACAAGTAGTTCAGTGTATATAAACAGGTTTGCTATACAAAAGTCAGCAACTTTGATGATATACAGCTAAAGAATGGACTGTGACATTGAA